ATATTATATTATACTACTTATTGATTTCGAAACTCAAAAATCACATTTCACTTACGATTAGAACATTAGAGGCAAACACGACAAACTGGATACTGAGGCAAGGGAAATATGCCCACAATAAAGACCATCCAGCCCTCCAGTGCAACGTGCTGCTTCCGCGGCAAAGGGAGTCCCAAAGTGGTCCAGCACAGTCCTACCAGTGGTGACGGCCGCATTCATGACACTTTGCTCTTCTAGGTGGCAGACTCGGACTATCGCTGGTGGGGCGGTCACAGGTTGCGAGAGTGAACTTAGGAAGAGGAAGGCTCGATAGTGATGGCATCGCCTATCGTAGAAATCATGGGGCAAAAAAGTGGTCCCATTCTGCGGGTTTCGAGCCTTTTCCCTTATTTAGCCATTGAACCAACCACCTCCACCCCAACATTCACTTCCAATGACGACCAATGATGGATACTCGACAGGAGGCCTGTCGCGCGGCGAGAAGGCAGAGACGCAGATGGACAAGCGGACTATTCGCAGAGCGTACTGTGCTATTTTGGCTGTACTTTGTACATAAATCCTATTTAAACGCTACAGTATGCATCGTGACTCGTCCGCTGACCCTCTGCGTTTTTGTCTTCTCGCCGAGCGACAGGCCTCTTGTCGGGCACCCAGTGAAAGCTCTGTCGTTAAAGAAACTCTCTGTTGAATAGTGGGGAACCTCATGAGGTGAACTAAATGGCCAGAGCAATCAGCATCACATGGGTGCGTGGCGCGATGGATAACGCGTCTGCCCATAGGGTACAAGATTACCGGTTTTAATCCTGTCATGGATGGGCTTCTTTGCATCCAGAAGATGGACTCCATGCCGCAACATGCGACTATGAATACTACTCATCCTAAGACGCCAGAACATTCACAGCTAAATTGAAGTGACAATGAGGGCTTTCTCTCCTCTTTCACAGGTTGTCCTTGATGGAGAAGGATGCGCGAAATTTGGGTTATCACTAAGCCGTTCTGTCGAAAAAGTCCTCTTCTTGTACGTGATGTATGCATACGGCGGCCATCTGCGCATGAGCGGCATTTGATCACCGCGAAACGGTTGCTGGGTACCCTCCAGGAGGCCCGTCGCGCGGCAAGAAGGCAGAGTCGGCGGACGAGTTGCAGCGCGTGGTGTGCGATGTAGGACGTGCAGTGGGACACTCTATTTAACTTGACGCGAAATCCCTATAGTACGCGCGCGACTCGTCCGCTGACTTTGCCTTCTTGCCGCGCGACGGGCCTCCTGGGGGGGTACCCAACTTTTCAAGTCCTCTGCTATATACAAATGGCCATTCTATTCTCGACGTGTCTACGTCCCTAACGGTTAACGTGCTTAGCGACCGCTTCGCCTCCTTTGCGACGCATATGGCACGGTACGCAGCAAACTTGCACATCGTGGTTTGCAAACCTCTTTCAATTTCACCTGTATTAAAGACGTATCCGACTTGAGACCACGTATCTCCACTCCAGTATCCACTGAGCCTCGTTCTGCGGTAAACAGCGATTTTATCTCAGGAACACAAATTGGTGAGTTGTGCTCCAGTTGCGAAGAAACTGCAAAAAATAGGTTGTGCTAGCTGAAAAAATAAGCTGGATGACATTAGATAGATCCATTTCTTCAGAATGCACTATACTTTCTATCTCTAGCAGGGTGAATATCGCTTGAGGATTCCTCAACGGCACGTCGAGGATTCTCTGCCCGATCAGACACGATCTCTCGCGCGGACATTCACACTCGCCATGCCGTGCCGTCTGTGCTCTCCGCGCGGATGTTCACTCTCGGCACTACTCTCGCATGGTAGAGAGCTATGGTCGAGGAAATCCTCGACCGTTATTCACCCTGCTCCAGCCACCAAGAGGGTGTTGCGGAATGCGCATGGACATTTTTGTGATGACTTGCGGTTCGCCACGTTTGCAGCCCTCACACAAGTACAAGTATAATAATACAATTAACCTTTCTCAGAAATATGGAAACTCCGTTAGATTGAGGTGGTTCGGGTCTCCAGAATGCGGTCAGCAGCCTTTTTACAAGTGCTATTCACCTCTGTTCATTACATATCATACAATAGAACATACTGTTATACTTAAAGGCACATTCCATGATTATAGCGATAGGGAATATTGCGCTAGAAAACGAGTAGCTTGGTATTATCTTAGCTGCTTGCATGAAAAAGAAAAACTGCCAAAACCATAGAATCATAGGCCGCACTGACCGGCTATGATTAGCATGGCCTCTGCCCCTCCTCTTCTCCCTGCCGGTAGCCGGTCTGTTGGGAGAGTGATCGCAGTTATCTTTCACACCCGCTCATATCGATCTTAATATATTTCCCATTCCTCTACGTCCGAGTGAATATGGTAGATGGAGCCAATCAATGAGATCCTGCAGAACGCGTGACGCAAACCCTGCCACACGATCGGCGGTAACATCAACTCAAGAAACTTCAGCAAGTTTATTATTCCCGCTTTCTTTCTACGCCAAGACCCAATCGCCAAAATGAACCTCCATTTTTCGAACGGCCGATGACTACAACTTGTCACTCGCGCGATGAGCCTTTAGGAGCCACAGCGGCTAACCCATTAAAAAAAAATGCGGAGATGATGCACAGGTGTGGTGAGGTTCCAGCCAGGGTCGGTCCTATCGTTGCTTACTTTCGAAATTTTACGACCCCCCTCCCCCAACGTGGATTTGATACGACCCCCTTTTCCCTACCTCCACCATCTTCCATCAAAACCCCGCCCACTTTTTCCTCCAAAAATGCCGTCGGCGAGGAGGGGGGATGGTGGTTATATAATCACTCTGAAACGTGTAAATATTCTCGAAATTTCCTTCCTATTTTCGCTCTATTCCGCCATTTCATTCCATTTCTTACCCATTTATACTCCCATATTTCCTTTTCTAGGGTCTAGGGGGGCGTCCTGGTTCAGCTCAGCAAAACAGAGTTTATCAACAGTTGACTGGTATAAGGCTTGCGGAGAGGTCACCGATCCAAAAATGAGCTGGTCATGAGATAAACCACATTCACACTTCTCGATGCTTCTAGGTAGAAGTACATAGATATCATCTCAAATTATCAATGCTTGTATTATAGTACATGGGTAACCTAAGGCAGTTTTACTGTACCATCCAAGTTTAGATAACTTGTGAGTGACATCTCGGATTGAGGTGGGGACAGCGTGTAGGTTGTAAAAAGTGCATGCAGGTGCAGACTAGTATCCCTAGGTGTAACCTTAGGTACTTGAGATTCTCTCATAGCGTAAACCTAAGCCATGCCCCTCATCTATTGTCGATCCTGTCTTCTGATCAAGCTGATCAGTCAGTCTGGAGTTTTGCCGAGCTCACGACATGTGAGCAGATCGGTCTCTCTCGGAAAACGAGAGGGGAGTTTCCCGAGATCGTTGTGTACGATTAGGTGATTAACTCTACGTGATAGAGGGCTCCCCCTGACTCCGAAGCGTCGCCCGATGCGAGTTTCGTTCTCTTCACTTGGTGAAATGTGGCTCTTTCCCCGTGATTGCGGAAGAAGATCGTAGCAGTAGACTCGGCAAGACGTCTACTATTAAATGCGCTAGACGCCGTGGCTCACGCGATGGTCGCCCTTCTGTGTTCAGAAGGAAGTGTACGTTTGAACATCCTCGGCGAGAAGATGGTTCAATCGTACAAGATGGCAGGTGAAATGCGGACAGTCCCCGTTCCCTAGCTTGGTTAAAGCCTAGAATCTACAGTAGTAGATTCTAGCACTTTTGTTGTATATTGATTGGCTCATTGCCAATCATCATTTTGTATATAGATGCAAATAAATGGTTAATTACGAAAGTGTGTTGTGTTTTGTAATTGGGTACGGTCAATCGTCACAGCTGTTACATAACACCCACTACTGTCACGAAACTTTGGAGCTCTCGCGCGTTCCAACAATGTTGATCAGAACAACCGTAGAGGACGCAAACGCACAGCAAAGGCCACATGACACCACACCAGAATGTCGCTCACACCCAACCTCGCACTCAAGCTTCCTCCGCAAAATTACGTGTGACAATGTTCGACAGCGATGGGCTCTCGGACTGATGTGGCTTCTTGAGACATCAGCTTGGACACTTGCTGAAAAAAGTTATCTGCAGCACAGAAGTTATTACATTATTTAACAACCTTTCGTCATTCCACTACTGCTTGAGAACCAAAAATGAATTAAACACTTGGAGCTTGAATATCTCGAAATACAATGCCTATGAGATCAAATAAGCTTCTACTCTCTTCCGGACGCGCGCCTAGCTGCTTTCGCTGTCTCGTTTCGAAAGTCCCTCTACGGACCGTCTGGAAACGATGCTACATGTCTGGCTAGGTGCCATCTTGTCCTCGTAGGACGCTACTTCTTAGTACCATCTACAACTTTCAACGACGAAGTTGCTTTCCAGGACGGCTGACGTGTTGAAGGAACCCTTTAGGTGATTTGGTCGTATTTTGGTCGATCTGCATGGGCCCGGAGCAGTCAACCGTCTATTCGCATAGTATGAATGATGGGGGTGGGGGTATCGTATTTGGTATTGAACGACGCTAGCCAATTCTTCAAAAAGTGCGAACGGGAGGTCGTTTTTGATGAATTTCTCACTTGATAATTTTCACGAAACTTTTAAAATAGGCGAAAGTAGAAAATTGGCCGTTTCATATTTACCACCCCACTCCCGCTCTTCGCTAGCATTTCTGAAAGAAAATAAAGGCGAAGCTGGGAGTGTGTGACTGATTCCAGAATAAAATCCCTTGCAAACAATCATAGTGTTGATGTGGAGGTGAGGAGTGGGGACCTGTTTGTGGGTGATCAGCCTCACGTGTGGTGCTGGGGGCCCTAAGAGGATAAGCAACGAAAATTCTTGAAAAAGTACGAATGCGGTGGTTGACCCTCCCCAGCCTGAAGCTCAGCAGTACGGGACTAGGCTAAACAGGCTGGACACAAGTAGGATTCGGAGTGCCGGCACTCCAAAAAATGATGCCAGTCCCCTGAAGCCGGAACAGAAGCTCAATCGATGGGGTACTCTGATTACAATCACACATCATACAATCATCTCCAACACACCGTGATGAATGCATCTAACGCGTTTCCTCCATTCATCGATGCGGCTGCCAGTAATGTGAGCCCATCAGTGAACGGGAATATGTGCGTTGTTATTGGCATGGCCGGAAGCGATACGGAATTTGAAACAACAAAGCACAGCTGACTCGACGTGCCAATGATCAAATCTGCAAATACATCAGATCAGCGCTGTCGCTCAAGAATGATGTGTTGATGCGCCATGCATATGCTCCTTCGAAAAGTTTAGAGGCGATCAGGGTCGTGTAAGCAGCACTCGACCGTGAATAAAGCCCCAGAACTCTGCATCTCTGGACGCATCCCCTAACCTTGACCATGAAGACTGCGTTGACCGGAGTAGTGAGGCAGAGTTTGGGGACCTATCCCCGGCCGGGTACTGCTACAAAAGGCCCCAGATATCAGGCAAATCTCGACACAGATCGTTACTTTTGTTACAGTATTCCTCACTAATACTAAATAGGTAATAAACTTTTCTGCAACCATCCCTATATGACAAGGCAAAAAATAGCCCTAATTCATCGATACACATGACATTTGGAAAACGGAACCACTCAAAATAATGACCGACAAGGTTGCTTCAGTTAGGCTTAAAGGCACAACCCAGGCAGAAATCGTGTGAACGCTTCCCTTCGGTCTGTAGGATAGACCCTAGAGGACAATCACAATGTGGCATTCCCGTGCACGGAAATCAACCGACAAGAGCGCGGCCTTGCAAAGTAAGCTGCAGCAGCTGCAATTTTCTCTTTATCAGGCTGTTGTCTGGCGCTCTCTCATCTGTAGCGCTCTCAGCCTCTTAGTCTAATCTCAGCACAACTGCACTAAGATGGAAAGCAACCTTATCCTGAGCATTTTTGGCACATTCTTTTCCTTTTTTCGTCACTTTTCTGGACCATTTCGCATCAATACCTTCATCTTATGTGCAAGAACCACACAAATTTGATCCTGGCGGTATGCCTTCTAGCGTTTTACCCTTCACATCGCCCGTCGTTAGGTAATATTTCTGACGCTCAGCAAACAAAATCCGTAACTTACAAGCATGATCAGCTCCTTCGTAGTGTCCACGGACGGATATGATCGACCCGTGAAGATCGGCTATCGCAACACCAACTGGGATACCTTCCAAAAATTCTAAGCGGCACTTGTCCAGCTCCGTAAACGTACCGACATCCGTTCTGACGATTTCTGGCAATTCTATCCAGTTTGGACAGAAAGGCAGCTGTAAAGTCGATATTTCGCAACGTTCAGAAACTGTAACTAGCAACTCTTTCAACACATGCATGGGAAGCGTTTTCAAACCCACGAAGCGTTATAACGTAGGATAACACCGCAAGTACGAATCATTCAAAATGCTCGTTAAATTTCACTGTGTTATAGCTAGATGTATCAATATCAAGTCAGAACAGAACAATGTCTAGGTCACTGATCCCTTCAGTTCCTCCTCCTAACCTCCTGATTTCTGAACTTCAGAGCATAATGTTGGGGAAGGGCGCACGGCTCCATGATCAAGTTCTGAACGTAGAACAAACCCTTTAGCCCTTAGTGGTCGTCTGATTGGTACCAGGACACCTCGCGAGGACAAGAGGTGGATGGGGTGGCCATATCACGAGAAAGAGCTGATAGGTGGAGTGGTTTTATTACTTCCGACCCCTCTCCTTTTTTCCTGTCGATATGACGGCCCATACATCAACGGTGGGCACGAAAATATGTAAAAAGACAAAAATAGCTTACATAAGAGGGGTGGGCGGGGTCCGATACCTCTGCGAAAGGTTTAGTAAAAATTTCAATACGCGAACAATGGACGTTTATCTTGCGTATGGAAAGGTATCTCACTCAATGACTTGAGGTATATTTCCTTGCTCTTCATTTTCATTAACGGATTATGGTGCTTTGATCGTAGGCGTGAATACACACACCTAACAAGCGGAAAGCTTGGGCTCAGGAGAATGGAGCGCTTCCTTCGAAAATGGTTTTCGCATGTTTTGTGGGCTCACGCAAAATGGCGGAGATCAGTTTTCTAGAACCCCCAGGAATGTCAAATGAATGACCGTGTCGTGGTGAAGAAAGGGACCCAGAGTCGGATGCGCGCGGTGATGACTAATTTTTGCAATATAGTTTGGTGCGCCCAGATTGCTCAAATGGCGCCATCGTCGAGAATAGATGTCATTGTCGTGTTTTTGGCAATTTGGAGGCGCCAACATAATTGCAAAAATTTGTCATCACGGAGGATCGAACTTTGGACCATTTCTTCCCCGCTGTTTTGACATTCCTGGGGCGTTCAGGAAAAATGGACCATGGTTCTGTGTTCCTCACATGAGCCTCTACAACATTCAGAAAACCATTTTTGAAAAACGCTCCATGTCCTGAAAGACCCCCCTTTGCGGGTGACTAGAGACTTAGGGTTATGGTGGACCCTTTTATGTCACCTTGCGGTGGTTCAGTGGATTTAATGTGAAGGAGGAAAACTATGTACAGAGAGAAGAGTTGAACGCCTTTATTGTATGGCTGCAAGAGAAGGTATATGGTTGTAGTATCTGTTCAAGGCTTATACAGTATGGGCACGCCCCCGCCAGACGTGAGGTCGTGAGGGAGTCATCGCCAGCTATGCGCAGGCGATGACACTCCTCCCTTTCTGAAGTTATAGGCAGGCAGGCCTACAAAAATGGTCTTATCGAGTTATGCTAAAAACATCACACAATGAGCTTTGAAAAGTCGAGTTCTTCAGTGCATCTACTAGTTGCTTCATTCCATTTGTTACGGGAACGATGTTACCGCAGTGAGTTGTTAAATCAACAGTTGCCTTCATAAAAGGGCGAAAAAAAATCTGTAACACCAATTCACGGAAAAATTTTTGCCATCACCTCAACTCACAATTTCCGAGTTCCATTGCAATCCCGTCGAGTATCCCCAGCAGTACGCGTTCGACTCGCTCATCAACACTTTCTCAGAGCCGGTCAAATAGCACGCAAAATAGTCCATGATTATTTCACAACGGTCCATGATGGACTCTTGTCAAAATCCGCATAGGACGCAAGTTCACATAACGTTCGCATACCGTATCCAGGAAACACACAATTGCTAGTGGATCTAGAAGAGATTCCTTCAACTTCATTTAATTCGTTTGGGCGCAATGTGGCGCGAGGGGGGGCAGTCGCCGCCTGCGGCGCGTGGCATGTTCACTTACCTTAGTGTGGAGAGGAGGAAATCCGTGAGCCAGGGGGAGTGTAGCCAGTCTAGGGGGTGGGAGTGAGGGCAGTCACTTGACATGCGTGAGAAGTTGAAATGTTCGAGTTTTCACTATGCCATGTGAACTGCCCCCCCCCCCGCTCCCGAGCCACATTGAGCCTTCGTTTGCTTAGTAGAAGGAAAACATTTTTAGAGATGCGAAGCTGTAAAGTTCGGATTCTCATCCAGGAGAGGGCATGCGGCGACGCTGTGCCGGCGTGCCTACGGAAACCCTAATTTTTGCACGGAAGCGTGAACTATTTCGCTTCCGTTTTTACGCCGACCCCGGAGCTTCCTTCTGCGAAAAACTGAATTAATTCAGGTGAAATGAACAGTCGCACCACAAGCCCCCTTAGTGGATGAGACACTTATTCAGATAGTGTTTAGCAATGCAAAAAGCCTTATGAAACAAATGGAAGTACAATGAGCACAGTTCACCCTATAACACCACAGTGTGCCGTAAAGAAACAGTTGAAGTGCCTTGAGTCGCACTCAGGCCGCCAGCTAATCACATAAGTGCCGCTTCTGTTCCGCAGGAGCCCATCAGCCGCTAACAGCATGAAATCGCGCTGTAGCTGCTCTTGTACACCTCCACATCTAGCTATGCTAGTCTCGTGATGAAGGCGGTAAGATCATGACATTTGAAG